TTAGAACATGGCAGTGCAAGACTAAGACTAAGTATAAAACACAAGTCAACCAAGGAAGTTACTAGTTAGTAGTACTCCTTCAGGGTCAGTTTAAAATAAAAAAAGAATCATAAAAGAATAGCAGCTGAAAAGGGAATGTGTTATCCTAACTATAAACAGACTTACAGGAGTGCCAAACATTTTCTCATTTCCTGAGAAAAGCCCTACTATGAGCAGATGGGCTCTGAGATGAAGAGGACTCAGACCACACTTTTGCTGTCCCGGAAAGCTAGCTACCAATGGAAAAGCCAAGGAGCAGGGATCACAGCAGCTGTGGTGTTTCTCATCATAAATAATCTCCAGATGAATCATTTGGAAAAATTCCGTAGTCTACAATCTGCCTTTTTTTGAGTGCACAGGTTCAGCATATCTGAACACAATGCTCTCTTTCCTGCTTTTAAGTGATCATGTTGAACCAACTGAAACATGTACCCGTTTTCATGATGGATCTCCCTAATATACTGGTGTTCGTGGCAGATTCTCTCATGGGTATTGCCTGAGCTTTTGCTATGGGACAAGCACTGGGGACAAGGAAGTAAACAAAACAGGCCAAGTGCCTGCCCTCATGGAGGAAGCGTCCAGTGAGGAACAGCTTTCTCATCTCAATGGTGGGCTGGCTTCTCTGTGGTTCCTCTTCCAGTCAGCATCCTACTTTGCCTTGTTTGTGGGAACCCCAAAACACAGACAAAGATGGAAGAAACTCAAGAAACACAGGGGAATTAGGGCCTTACTCCAAGTGTCAAGAGCGGGGCTCTGTAGTATCATTATAGGAGGAAGTGGTCTTCGGACCCAAGGAACTTTTAACTTTCAATATAGGATGAGAATAAAAGATTTTCAGCAGGTGTATATACATGTATTCCTTGACACGTCATATCTCCTTTCCTACTCCATTTACACACACACACACACACACACACACACACACACACACGCCACAGACCACCCTTCTAAGTACCCAATGACATATACACACAAAGGCATCAGCTACATAAAACTGGACAAACATTCAAGCTACACATGATGGGGAAGCAAGGTCTGACCACATAAAGGAACGTAGGACCTACTGTCAAAAAGACACCGACACTCACAATCATATCTGTCACCACACCTTACCTATAACAAAATGGTCCCTCATGCAAATGAAAACACACATTCTAAAACACTGTTTAATATTGCTGTGATGCTCAGTCCAACTGCCCTCCATGGTTTCTATAAGGTTCTGAAGATTAAACACATTGGTAGTCAACTTTGTATACAGGCCTGTAAATAAGAGGGCTCAGCTTTAAATAATTATGTCAAAGAAATGACAACTGTGCTCTTTGCCAGAACAGGGATGAATAATTACAAAGCCAGGACGTAATTAAGTAATTCTGACTGTCGGATTTTGGAGCTGTGTCTCTGAAGTGAAGGGCCAGTGTGCCTGCCACACACCCTCCTGGATGGGTCTCTGTGCTCTTTTGATATGCATTTCCCAGGGCAGCCAGGGAGGGGGTCCAGGTCTGGTCAGTATGGACGCTTTTCCATGGGGGCCTCAACCTTCTCTGCACCTGGCTTGATGCTCTCCACATTAACAATGGCTTGATTCAATGGCTGACATATGACAGAGATATGTATTTTCTTTAAAGTCCTGGGAAATGAGCAAATACTAGATGTTGCAGGCCCATTAACTAAAATACACAGCCACCCAGTCTGGAAGAGCACAATGCCATATTAGTTATCACTTCCTAATGAATGACAGTGTTCTTCTCTAGAATAATCAGAGCTCAGACAGAAGGCAGTTTTTAAACAACAAAAGCCAAAAGGCAACAAAGAGGAGAGAAAGCATGTCACAGAATGAGAGAATGAGAGAGAGCTCCTCTCAGGCACCAGGGTCTGCCTGGTCCCAAATCAAACCTTGGTGACATAGGGAGTTTATTAGTTCCTGGCTGATTTTGCATTTGCGTCAGTGGAGAACACCCAGACTGCCTGTTCCCTACCTCTAAGGCAAAGGCTGCAAATGGAAAGGTATTTTCCACTCTCCCAAATACTTTTTGTCAGGAATAAAATGAAAACAGCTCCCCAAATCATGCCCCCTTGATGATCCGTCAGCACATTCTGCTGAATAAGCACAACAGGCCGCTACCCCTTCAGAGGGGACAGAAGCCAACCTGAGACTCAGAATCCTTATGAAAAATAGCTCCTTACAACGTGGACTCAGCACAGAGTTGGCAATTCAGGGAAAGGAAATCTCTCTCCACTTAGAGACCAGCCCCAGGTGTACACATACCTCCCACTGCATACATATGTATATATACACAGAGACAGGCAGGGGATATACACACCTGTGCAGGAACAAACAGTCATTTGCACACACTGTCAATGGGCAAAAAGCAGTCTTTTGAATGCCAATTTATTAATTCAGCAAGCAGCTCATTTGGCATCATTCTATTTGCAAGAAAAGTACCAAAGCATATCTCCAAAAACAACAGACAAAAGGGTATATTGCCTCTCATTCCAGAGAGGCATTCAGTTTGACACCAAACCAATTTACACATTGGATTCCTCTTGTGCTCTCAAAAGCTCATGGCATAAAAAGTACACCAAACCAGGAGCCCAAAATCCTTGGTTCTGATCCCCAATGCACATCATTAGGACTGCCATGTCCCAGGACATCTTACCCCTCACTCAGTTCCCTCCTCTACAAAACCAGAGACCAGAAGAAGTGATTTCTGAAGTCCTGTCCAGTCTGGAAATTATGTGATTCTACAAAAGAGAACCTAAGGTCCCCAGGCTTGGTGAGAGTATGTTTGTCTCTCTCTTCTAATTAATGGGCATTTTAAAACTTAATACAGTTAGCAAGGATGTTAGAGTCAATCACACAAACATGAGCTAATTCTATAATTGATTGGGAACTAATTGGGAACTCCGAAGAGCATTTCTGCTGATGCTGCTAATAACTCATGGTAGATTTTAAGGAGCCCTTCCCAGTCATTTTCAAAGTCAAAGGAAGATTCTAGCTCCTTCCATCTCTACTTGACAGAGCAGTCCTATGTCACCTGCCCTCTTCATTTATGTCTTCCTGACATTTGGTTTGAACAAACATATCCACTGGGATTATGTTTAACTCACTGCTTCAGAGATAAAACAGTAGAGTATGAGGTGCCCTGGCTCCATAGTCAGACACACAGGTGAAACCCAGCTCTGGTAGGTCCTGGGCCCAGTGAACTTCTTGAGGCCTGAGCTCCTTCATCTATAAAGTGGACCAATGATCCTTTCTTCCTATGTAAGAGGGTGATGTGAGGATTCACAGATCTATAGATAAAGAACCTTGGGACAGTACAGTAAGTAGCAGGTAAAGATTGAGTATTCTGTCCAAGTACAGAAGACACTGTGTTTGTTACTCCTTCTGATTTCCAACAATAATGCAGACCTTCCCATGCCAAAAGCAAAGGAAGGGAGAAGCATCACCAATCTACTCTGTGCAGTGTCCACACGAAGAAGGGAAATGTAGGAGGGGCAAGTTGTAACCCAAGATATGACAGAGTTCATTTGTTGAGCTTTGCTCAGTTTGGTGATTCAGCTGTCTCTGCAATATTTTCACAGAAAAAAAGAAAGAAGGGAAGGAAGAATACTAGGAAAAAAAAAGCCAAGAAATAAATTCTTTCATTTGGACAAAATTACAAAAGCCAAACTAACAAAAGGCAATCATGTGCAATATGTCAAACCTGGGTTTCAATCAGGAGAACTGCTAACACTTTAATAGCTACGAAATGAATCACTCAACTAATTTCCCACATGCTAAAACAGGTAACAATACATTTATCTGCCAGTATCATACCCTCCCTATCATATATTTCCACAACTGTTAGCAATTCTATTCAGCATAACAGGATATCAGTTGCACCTCATGGATCTGAGGGGAAAAAAGGGGGCCTGAGGTCTGCTGCCAACCCAGCAACTTGATGGAAGAGGTTTCATTGTGCTGCTCTGTTTTAGGTTTGTTTGTATTTTCTTTCCTCCCTTATTCACTTCCAATGCATGTTCAGAGGGCTGTAAGTCACTAAGTGAGGACAAACTAGACCTCTAGGATTTCTGTGCCAGTGTTTTCAACACACAAGCTACAGTCTCATGGGAGGTAACTGTGTAACTCCACAGAGCTCAGGGCAGGGACAGTTCTCCAAGGAATCAGTTGGGGGTCACTGAGTGTAATCCTCAGCGTCTGGCTTCCCTGAAGGACTCCCATCCTTCCCAAAGAGAAGGTTGTGCATATCCTTAAAAATACCCTTGTAACTGAATCCAAGACGCCCAGCCAAGCCTCCCCTGCCTCATCAGAAGTGCCATTAGGATGACACCACTTTTTGTGCAGGGCCCCCTTGCAGATGCAGCTGTAAAGGAAAGGTTATAAGCACCATTCTGATGAGCTCTGGAGAGTTACCTGTGGGAAGGCCGGGCCAAGCCCAGGACACATTGTCAGAAACCACTACCGTCTAATGTTATCTCAGGGAACTATGAGGCCCTCATCTGTGATGGAAGAAAATTACTCTCCCCAGCTCCCCTTTAGTCATAGGAAAGAAAAGCTATCCCCCACTGAAGAGGAATGCTACCCATAGCAGAAGCAGAAAATGCCCAATGCTTTCTCCTCTCTCGGCTCCAGACCTGTAGAGGCCCCGCTCTGTGAACATCTTTGAGAAGCAAGCTTGAAAATTAACCCTCAGAATTTCACCGGCAAGCTGTGTGTGGTGCTGCTTTATCAGATGAGACCATCTAATGAATCACGTCCCCTTAGCCTGGGTCACAGGAAAATCCAGTTCATACCCAGGCCTATTTCCTGTTATGTCCACAGTGTATCTATATAGGTAAACCATGACTGTGAGATCTCACCCTCATTCTAATCCCACAGGAAGATGTCTCCTATGCTCTGAAGAGTAGCCAGGGTCATGAAGTGTCAGTCCCTCGTGATTATCACAGAGTGGGTGGCTCACCTTGGGCTTCACCACTTTCATAAAGGCCCCTCTGACCAATGCCTCCTCTCGTTCTTGTCTAGTTACTTTCCGGGCATCCAAAAACTTCAATTTAGACAGTTTATGCAGAACAAAGCACCTGGAAAAGAGTCAGAAACAAGCTTGTAATGGCAGCCCCAAATACCCAGGCAATCTTCCTGACCTTTAGGAATCTACACCATTACATTACATCCCAGGGAGTCCAGATCCTGGCTACTGAGTCACCTTTCTCCTGTTCCAAAAAAATGAACAATCGTTCTGGGGTGAAGCTTGAGAGGTTATGGTCACACAGACATTGAACTAAACTTTAGAAACATACAGTAATGGCAACAAACATAGATCAGCCAGAAGGACTCTAGCAGTGTATTCTCATTCTATTCTGGAAAATGGGCCCAGGTTTTTCCTTATGCAGGAAGTCCTCAGGACAATTAACTTACACTTTTTTTTTAATTTACACTTTGATTGTACCGTTTATGCTCCTATTATTCCTTTAAGTCATCTGTATCACTCTCATCTCAACAGACCTATATTTTGCCATGTAGGACGAAAAACTAGATTGTTATCCCCAGGATGACTTTGGAGTAGAAGTAGGGAACACGTGTAACTGAGAAAGGCTTCCTCGAGGAATCAAGCAAAGATCTCGAGGGCTTTTTGCTATCATTGCTGGGTTATTTCTACAGTGGTTCTAAGAAGATTGCCTTCATCAAGGGGAAACAAGGAGAGTTCGTTTCTAGGGGCCATCAATAGCCCAACAAATGCCAGGTGATTTCCACTCCCTTTGGAAGACCCTTTGATACTCATTATAGACTCCAGAGATTACCCAAAGTCTGTATGAACAATGAACTACCCTCAAGCAGGTGTACGTATATGGAGTGACAAGAAGATACGTTTGGCCAGGGTATAGGTTTATAAATATATAATATATAGAGAAAAGGTAGAGGCACCTGTCTATATTTCTCCTTTGTTAGTGACAGTCACCAACCCAGATGCTTTCCCTCAAGCCCCCATACTCCATCAGTCATACAAGTGATGCCTAGATCTTGTCTTTCTTAGGAAGTAGAGGCAAGCAAGGACCCAATATCAAGAGCAATGGATTCTCCAAGGGAATCTGTCACTTCCTTCCTGTCCAAGCCTCCTCAGTATGCATGCATCTTTCAAGACTCAAACTCCATGAAAATTTCTTCTACATCTTTAGGTTGCTTTATTTTCTTTTTTTAGTAGCACTCCTAGAATACAATGGCAGCACCATCCTGTCTGACACTTTGCTATTCTCTATTTTCTTACGGCTCAGTTGATGTCCTTGACTCAACTATAAACTTCTTGAAGGCAGAGATAATTTTCTTTGTCTTCCCTGACCACATCCTGGAAATTGCATTAGAAGGACTTAGTGATGTACCTGTTAATCTTAGCTGCACAAATCTTTCTTGAGCATCTACTATGTCATACATAGTGAAGATAACATGGTTATCACTTTCAGAGGGGTTCTTAGCAGAGTGGGAAGACACATCCATAAAGAGAAATTAGAAATTAGTTTAACTAAGCGCCAGAGTTTATACACAGAACAGTTATGGGAGCAGAGAAAAAGGACCTATGCTATGAATAACTAAGGGGAAAAGGAGGAACAGGAAATCTCAAATGGGCCTCCAAGAAACAAATCTCAAGTAATTCCAAGCATTTGGCTCTTCTGCAGGGCAGAGATCACCTAAGGTACACAGTGTGCTCTCCTCACTGCAGCCTTGAGTCCCCAGAACCACCTCCCATGATCATGTGCTGATGATTCTGTGTCACCAAGTGGCCTTCATGCACTCATCCAAATAAAAGATTTGGCTGATGACTCAAAAGCAAAGCACAATAATTTAGGACCCTCCAGTAGTAGCCTTCATATCACTTACTGTTCAAGGTCAAAATACTCAGACTCCTTTGAGGCACACTTTCCTGCCCCAGTGCTGTCCTAGGGAGGAAAGCCCGAGGTCCCGGAATCAGACTCTGTCTATTTCCTGCTTCCTTCCTGGCTTCTATCTGATACCCTCCTTTCTATCTCTCCCTAGGCTTCTCCCTTACGTCCCCAAATGCTCTCTAATATTATCCAACATCAAGCAGAAGCCAAAAAGGGCCTAAATGTCCTTTCTATCCCCTTGTAGAATTCCCACCGGCCTCAAACTGTCAGAGAAAACTTCCGTCTTCTAGTTGTAGCGGCAAAGTCTTGATGACAACAGATTCTTTCAAATAAAGACATGTACAGACAGAAACAATGTCAGGAGTGATGCTCAAAGGAGTAAAGACACCCACTAAGTGTAGGGTGGGAAAAGATGAATATTCAGGTGAAGACAACATCGGTATTAGAAAATCAGCAAATGTTTAATGATGGAGTGAAAGATGCCTTCACGGGCTGGCAGGAACCTCGATGACAACAGATCGCACACTGTCATTTTACCTCACTTTGGATCACAGCCCTGAAATCAAAGGAGAAAGACAGAGAGGTGCTGGCTTTTAAGCTAGTTAAAATTTTTAGATGACAAAGAGCTGCTGTTTCCAAGGCACTCTTCTTATACAATCGAAGAGACAGCCCATGACACAGGCTGCCAGTTGCCTGTGAGACATGGGGTGACCTGGCTCCCGTCCCGAGGGCCAGCCTGGGTTTCAAGGATATCACTGCTTAGGAAGATTGGAGGGACACGAAGAAAACTTGCACCCAAAAGCTCAGTTTAGCTAGGCCTCCTCCATGTTCTAACTCACATATACAACAGATACTTATGGAACAGCTACCACCTGCCAGGAACGGTATGAGGTGCTGAGAATAAAGTGAAAAACAACACACAAGGGCTTTGCTCCCAATGAGCTTAGATTCCAGTGCAGTGGTCCTCAGCCCAGAGCAGACAACAGCACTGGGTTTCTGATTCGGGTCTGGAGTGGGGCCTAGAATTTATGTCTCCAATAACTTCCCAGGTGATGCTGATGCTGCTTTCCTGCAGAGAGCCAATGTCCTGGGGAAAATAACACCACGAGGAATAACAGTTTTGGAATTATGAGCATCCAGAGGCGGCCCAGAGTCTCCTTCCCAGTTCTGCTAGCAATCTGCCCTGCCCCCAAGGTCTGTGATCCACGGAGCCCAGACTGTGGCAGTGTCTCCCAGATCTTCCTGCCCTTTGGTGGCTTGCGGCTGGCTCCCAACATTATTGCCAAGTGGTACGTCAGTGTGGGCTTTCTGCTCGCCTGTCCCATCTGGTCTTGGGAGATCTATTTCCCTTTGTTCTAGGTCATGTCAGGATGTCAAAAGCTGCAGCTTCAATTCTGAGGGTAATACAAGTTTGCCATAAAAATACAAGAGAGGATTCCCAAATCCACAGAATGAAGGCTTTTACAATATCAATTCAACCCTTGTAAATTTAATCCAGGGTTATTTGTTGCACCAAAATCGCTTTACTGTGATGTATTACTTAGTTACTGGGGTTATCACAGCCGTATCCTAAAGTTGCATAGTACATAAAACATTTCAGTTAACAATGCAGGAAGGTTAACTCCCCGAGATAACCTGCAATCACAAGGGCTAGTCCAGATGACATCCCTCTGTCAGCTTCCACGAGCTATTGATGGTTCAATCAGTTTGTTTTGAAGGTAAAGTACAACAAAAGGGCAGTAAACTTATTCAGACTGTCAACAGGGGCTATCGGGAATGGGGCTTGCAGGTAAGTAATTCTGGGTGTTTTAAGGCTATTATCAAACAGCAATGGTTGAAGGAAGAGACAGCTACTAATAACACAGAAGGCAGCCATCATAAACCACTTTATGGCAGAAACCTCCATCTATAAATCCTGCGACACCCGGAGACAGCTTCAGATTTATAAAACTGCTTGTTAAGCCAGGGCACTGCTTAATGAAAAGAGATCTGTCTAAGTTCTAAGTCTCACGTCCCTAGCTCCAGAGGGCAACTCCAATTTTCCTGACCTTCTCAAGGTGGCTGGGGGGAAGCCCCCGGGGATGGGGTGGTCAGAGCCACTCCTGGCTGGGAAAGGGGAGTTGAGGTTATCAGAAGGAGAGCAGTGACCCTGAGATTCTGGGAAGGTGTTTACACATCCACTAAGCTCTGTCTGGAAACAGATTTCCTAAAAGTAAGAGACCAGCACCCAGAGCTTTCCAGATTTTCTCTTTTCATACAGAATGTTTCATTTTCTCCAAAGACTTCTCTAAGGACAGAGTTACAAATAATAGGAGGAAAAAAGAAACAACCCATAGGTTTTTATTTTTTTAATCATCAAAATCAATTTTTTTCTGCTTTAATCCCAGTGCTCTCACCTCAAATAGAGAGGAGGATATTCTTTCCTCCTGCCCACAACTGTTATCCCAGGGAACTGGCTGCTCCTCAGTAATGGGGTACAAGCACAAAAAAGTCAGGATAGGTCTCTGCAATTTGCTGGTGGGGTTGGCTGCCATGTTTGTTTTTCTGAGGTCCTGGTCAAGAAACACCAAGCTTCCAGTTCCTCAGGAAGCCAAGCTGTAAGACACCAGAGTTTATTCTATCCTTTCTTCCTGTGGCATTTTCTGCTTCCCTGCATTATTCCTTACCATCCTCATGCTCCCGTCCACAGAGAGCAGGGAGCACGGTGCAAGCTACTGCTGCCCTATCTGGCATCCCAGAAGGCAGCTGTGGGTGGGCCATGAACTCCTTTCAATCTTTCACAAAGCTTTGCAGAACGGGGCGAGCATGCTAACACATCATGCTTCTCTGCTGTTGACTGGATTATACCCACTCTGGTGACACGGGATACCGCATGCTGATCACAAGTACTGATCCAATGCTAAATATGTCCAATTAATGAAAGAAAAAGTTAGCTCGGTTCACGTGCTGCCTATTAGAGAAACCAAAGGTTTGAAAGTGTAAGGGACATGATTGAAAGGAAGGGAAGTATTCACAATGAAGGGCTTGGAGAATAACAGGGCAAAAGAAAGAGCCCAAGCTTCGAGTTGGTCTTGCTAGGTGATCTTGGCTTAGTCTCTACTCTTTCTGAGTCTCAGTTTCTCCATCGGTGCAATGACCGGTGCTGTGGGCCAAATGATGTGCAAACTTCAAACTCTACTTTGCCTGAATTCTGTGGGCCTTAA